CAAAAAAAAAAAAAAAAAAAAAAAAAAAAAAAAAAAAAAGTGGAGATGTACTTTGGTAGACAGTGGGATGAAATTTAAGTTGAAAATGTCTGTCTTTGGAAATCATGAGTCATATTGTTAGTTTTGGCTTAAAAACACATGCCTGTGGACTGGGGATTTAGCTCAGTGGCACTGTGCCTGCCTCGCAGGTGCAAGGTCCTGAATTCTAACTGCGGTACCAAAAAAAAAAAAAAAAAAATTGTGATCCCAGCACTTTAGGAGGCTGAAGCTGTAGGATTACAGATTTGAGCTCAGCTTGGGCAACTTAGACCTTGTCTCAAAATAAAAATGACAAGGGCTAGAGAATGTAGCTCAGTGTGAAAGCCTGTGGTTCAATACCCAATACTGCTAAAAATGTAAATAAAGAAATTTTCTCAGATGTCTGGTTCACCTGTAGTTTTACCTAAAACTGCTAAAGTGAGACATAGGGAAGGTGCTTTTAGTGGCAGAACCAAAATCAGTGTCACCTCTGGATTACCTTCCTCACTTGTCCCAATAGTCTGTCTATCTTCATTGCATATCATGATGGATAGAAATGGCACATCATGTTTATCACCCTCTTAGCTCTCAGCTTCTCAGGAGAATATTGTGTGCCCTGTTCATTCTCACATCTGTTGTGGAACCTCAAGTCATGTTAAATTCAGCAGTGTAAAATGAACAAGGAGCCTAGGACAGTTGTCTTATGCCTTATAGTAAATTAACTTCCTGTTCCTAGTTTGTGTTTGATTGAGCCACCGCATCTCACATTAAGCTCCCTCTAAGGAAGGAGGTGGCCCATTCCTATGGTCATGGCTGTTTAAGAAAACTGGAATGAAATGTAGAATTCATGTGCATTGAGCTTTTTAGTATTAAGTAAACCCAATTAAATTTAAGTACAAATAAAAAACAAAGTGAATCTTGAATTTATGGCAGCCAAAATAGATATAAGAAGTAAAAGCTAAACACTGAACCAAACACTAATTATTTCTTATACTGTAATAAAATTGGTAAATATGGTCTCTCTCAAAATATCTTATCATAGTGAGGGATGGTGGTGCACACCTGTAATCCTAGCACTGAGAGGCTGAGGCAGGAGGAGCACAAGTTCAAGACCAACCTGGCAGTTCAGCGAGACATTGCCTTACCAAAAAAAAAGGCGGGGGGCTGGAAACTCAGCTCAGTGTAAAGGTGCAGTACCATAAAACAAAACAAAGCAAAACACCCCTCATACTGTACTATTCTCCCTTCTTTTGTTGATAATGATTATGATGAGATGACTTTGAAAGGGAGCACTTTTAGCTTCTCTTTGGCATATCTGATTGCCACTACTTTTGGGTTGATCTCAGTGATCCAAGACATGGGGTGGGAAATATATACAGCATGAAAATACCGAATAAAGGGATGATCCACATCCCGGAAAAGAAAGTGTAAAATTTTATGATGCCAGTTAGAATGGCACACAATTTAAAACACATGAATTGTTGATTTTTGGAATTATATATTTAATATTTTCAGACTTCAGATGACCAAGATTAAATGAAACCACATGAGTCAGTACAGTAATATTCTCTTCTCTACAGAAAGAAAAACTGTAGATAAAGGAGGACTATGGGACTGACTCACATATAGTGAAGTTAAAATACACAGGAAAGTCAGTCCAATAAGTTCCTACTATTATACACCCTATTGTAGTGCTGGCAAATTTAGGCACAGTCAAGAAAACTTGCCTGATAGAATCAATTGAGAATAATAATGTTCTTTATATTACATACTAACCAGCTAGTCATATTAAAGTATCTGCTTGTACTATACTGGACATCCTACATTTTGCATGACAGTTATTGTGAGTTTAATTTTTAAAAATTCTCAAAAGAGATTGAAGTTCTCAATAATGATGTATTATCTACTTGAACTTGGTAAAGGTAATAAAACAACACTATCTGCAAAAATACATCTTCCATTTCAAAAGTGACTACTGCAACAAGTCAGGCAGAGATTTCTTGGGATTACCTTTATTCTGGGCTTCCTAAAGAATCTCCAAGCTTCCACTGAGGAAGAGCTGTCACCATGATTCTCACATTGTATTAAGTACAACATATTTTCATGGTACTAATTTGTATCAAGACGTGGGCAACAACAGCTTTGAATTGGTGGTTCAGCTCCTGCAGGCAATTTTCTAAAGTTTCATTTTTCTAGATTGGGGTCCACAGAGTTTTGAGACCTGTGCACGTTAATAATAACTAAGGAGAATCTGAGGTATTTATTTCAGAAATAGACCTCTTCTTTACAAGTTAGAATCAGAGAGAGTAGATGAATCAGAGCAAAAGAAGATATAGCGTTGTTGAAAATAAGAGTGTTCAAAATCCAGATGTACTCAGCCACCTCATCTTTGACAAAGGAGCTGACCATGCTCAGTGGAGGAAAGATAGCCTCTTTAATAAATGCTGTTGGAAAAACTGGATTTCAACTGCCACTGATTAAAAATGGACCCTTATCTTTCACCATGCACGAAATTAAAATCCAAATGGATTAAAGATCTAAATATTAAAACAGAAACACTAAACTTGCTGGAAGATAAGCTAGGCAGAACTCTGGAAGACATTGGCATAGGAAAAGACTTTATGAACAAATCCTCAGTAGCATGGGAACTAGCAGAAATAATCAACAACTGGGATCTCATCTTATTAAAAAGATTCTGTACTGCAAAAGAAACCATCAGCAGAACTGAGACAACCTACAATGTGGGAAATAATTTTTACCAGTTGCCCCTCACACAAAGGACTATTATCTAGGATATATAAAGAACTCAAAACAATCAGCCCCCCCAAATATAAAGACCCAATTCAAAAATGGGCATCCGAAATGAACAGACATTTTTCAGACGAAGTAAAAGCAGCAAGTAAATATATGAAAAAATGCTCCACATCACTGGTCATTTGAGAGATGCAGATGAAAGCAACACTGAGATTCCACCTTACCCCACAAAGAATGGTTGCTATCAAGAAATCACACAACAACAAATGTTGGCAGGGATGTGGGGAAAAAGGAACCCTTCTCCATTGTTGGTGGGAGTGTAGACTGGTGCAACCACTGTGGAAATCAATATGGAGATACCTCAAAGAGCTTGGACTGGAGGTTCCATTTGACCCAGCCATCCCTCTGCTGGGTATCTTTCCAAAAGAAGTAAAAGAATCATATCACAGTGATGTATGTACACCCATGTTTGTAGTGGCACAGTTTGTAATAGCTAAAACTTGGAAATAGCCCATTTGCCCTTCAGTTGGAAACTGGATAAAGATGTGGTTTTTCTATAAAATGGAATATTACTCAGCCACAAAGAACAAGAAAATAGATTCATTCATAGGAAAATGAATACATATTGAAGATATACTCATAAGTGGAATAAATAAGTCACACATGTGTAAATACCAAATAGTTTCTCTGGTGTGAATAAACTGCAATAATACATAATATCCTAATAAGATTACTGACATTGTGAAATGGGAAGAAAGGGGATAAAGGTGTAGGGAAGGTGGGATGGATAGGGGAAGGGTAATAAGGGAAAAGAAAAAAAATGTGAGATAATGAAAAGATGGAAATAAAGTGTTTATAGATGGGGAGGGGAGGAGGGGGTGAAGGGAGGGCAGGGACAAGGGGAAAAAATGAGAACCAAGACCTGTTATGTAGAGGTACAAAATCCCAACAATGAATGTAAATGTATTGTATCCCTAAAATGTACCAATAAACTGAATTAAAGAAAAAGAAAAAGAAAATAAGAGTGTTCAACTCAAGAGAACATTCTCAGAGAAGCACAGGCAATCGGTGAAAGGGGGGTCGCATGCCCCCTTACGGTGTCCCCTTCCCAATCAGGTCACTCACGCACGGAGAGGTCCGACAGGAGATCTTTATTGCAGAGAGTCAGGCAGAGCACAAAGGCCGGGAGGCGAGGAGGCGGAGAGGAGGAGAGAGAGAGAGAGAGAGAGGAGGAAGAAGAAGCAGGAGAGAAGAACAAAGAAAGGAAGGTCCTTTTATCAGTTTTGGGGTGGGCTATTGCTTATTTATGAGGAGTGAGCTACTTTTAACCTATCACAGCCCAGATTGCTTTTATGGGCCCAGTCCTGCAGACACAGGTTTCAACTTTCCTGGACCACTGTGGCCTTGGGAGGGGGAGGGAAACCAGAGATAAGGGCATGAGGTCATTTTAGGAGCCAAGATGTATCAGAAGAATACAGCCTGTGAGGCGGCGTCACAGCATACTTTAACATGATCAATTCCCTAACAATTGGTGTTGTGGCTTGCACAGATACCAGTGTACTTCAACTGAGGAAGTGCCAAATATGCAGTTGGATCTGTTTTCCTAGCCTTTGGGCTGTCTGGCTGTGTTTGTAAATAAAATATTCTTGAACTTGATCAGGCCCATTTGTTCACAAGACTTCACAGGGTTGTTATGACCCAGTGGCTGAGAAAGCCTAAAATATTTATTGACAAAGAAAAAGTTTGCTGACCTTTTTTTATGGAGAATCAGAAATAATGGAGAAAAGTATAATTATTTTAATGTTCCTCTCTGAAAAAGAGAGTTTAAATATGACTTAAATAAAAGCCCTTCCTTATAGTTTGCATCTTTCTGATGAATTTGCTCTCTGCTCATTACTTTTGGATGAGACTCCTGAACTATTGTGCTTCAACAAAATAAAAGATTATTACTCAATGGTTTGCATTATTGATGACCGAGAAGATGTCTGGAAGTTTGCCCCCAACCTGATAACTGTGAAGAAATATGTGTACTTACCAGGCACAGGTGATGTGAATGCACCCCCTGGGTCCCGGGAATCTCAGATGAGAAAGAAAGGTGGGTAGTCTTCTTCCTAACAATTTAAAAATAAATAATTAGTGTTTGGTTCAGTGTTTAGCTTTTACTTCTTATATCTATTTTGGCTGCCATAAATTCAAGATTCACTTTGTTTTTATTTGTACTTAAATTTAATTGGATTTACTTAATACTAAAAAGCTCAATGCACATGAATTCTACATTTCATTCCAGTTTTCCTTAAACAGCCATGATCATAGGAATGGGCCACCTCCTTCCTTAGAGGGAGCTTAATGTGAGATGTGGTGGCTCCTTTTGTAAGAACTGCCCTCAGAACACAGGGCCTTGGGCTGTGCCTGCCTGGAGGGTGCAAGGAACCATTCATCTTCAGGCAAACATGAGCCCAATTCTGATCAAGAAAATTTAAAAATTTTGATTTTAAGTATTTCTGATAATCTTTAATTTAAAACCAAAATATTTTGAGGTAAACAATTGCTGCTGCAATCACTAAAATGGAACTTAGATGTCAAGGCAAGGAAAAAGTAGGGCCCAAGGGCCTTCTTGCAGAAGTGTGTTGGAAACATCACCTGAACAAACTTGGCAAGTCAGCCTGCAGGGGTTGTAAAAGCAAAGGATACTTATTGTCTGGGAGTTAAGTTTCCCAAGGCCAGGTTAGAGGAGGGATAATATAAACCTTAGTGGAGAAGTATGCTGTTAAAGTTTTGAGAGTTGTTTAACTTTAACCATTAGGTAACAGTAACTTTTTCTTTTGTATGCATGTTTAGTAAATCATTCTTCTAAAGATGCTGATGTCTTGGAACAAGTTCCATTTGTGAAAGACCCTGAGGAAGGCAGACACATTCCTGGGCTGGAGCAGAGCAATGGCCTTGGGAAACCTGCTCGGGAGCTAAATGGTGGTGAGGTTGTGCCAGGGGCTTCTGTTAAGGCAGATGAGAGGGACTCCTGGCCCCCTGCTCAGGCCCCCTCCTCCATCAGCCCCAGCAATTGTGTGCTGGCAGATATTCCTGAGTCCCAGGCATCTTGTGAACAGGGTGGTGAGACCTCACCAGGGGCACAGCCCCCTCAGGGGACCTCTGGCACAGATTTGGATTTTGACTTGTCCAGTGACAGTGAAAGCAGTGAGTCAGAAGGTCAGAAGTCCTCCTCCATCTTTGATGGGGAAAGTGAGGGGAAGAGAGGCCGGGAAAAGGCTCCAGCCACCCAAGATGGAGCAAGAATACTGCAGCAGGGAAATACCCCTGATACTAGCAGAGGAAAACTTGCAGGAGCTGTGCCCCTTGGAGAGTCTGGGGCTGGAGTCCCTGTAATCGACAAAGGGCCAGACCTGGACGTGCAGGAGGAGGGTGAGCGAGATGGCCTCTGTGGGCTGGGCAATGGCTGTGTGGACAAGAAGGAGGCTGAGACGGAGTCACAGAACAGTGAGCAGTCAGGGATCACTGCAGGCGAGTCCTTGGACCAGAGTGTAGAGGAGGAAGAGGAGGACACAGACAATGATGACCACCTGATACACCTTGAGGAGATCCTTGTGCGGGTGCACACTGATTATTACACAAAATATGATAGGTACCTCAACAAGGAGCTCGAGGAAGCTCCAGATATACGTAAGATAGTTCCTGAACTCAAGAGTAAGGTGCTGGCAGATGTGACTGTGATATTCAGTGGCCTTCATCCAATGAACTTCCCAGTAGAGAAAACTTGGGAGCACTATCATGCCACAGCCCTAGGTGCCAAGGTCCTGACCCAGCTGGTAATGAGCACTGATGCTCCTGACAGGGCCACCCATATGATTGTGGCATGGGATGGTAAGTAACCCCCTCCTGTGCCTTCGTGGATGGGAACACAGATGACCAGCGGTGGTCTCTGTCCTTGAGACTAGAACTGTGGCCTTTTAAGAATAGATTGATAATTATATTTTGGTGAAGTTCTTCGTCTGTCTTATATTGCTTCACATCTACTTATTGAGTGCACATATATGATCACTTTCACTTGCTGTCTTGGGTTAGCACCTTCTCCAGGAGTTTCAGATGGACTGGGAGACTCAAAGTTAGTGTTATACTGGAGAAACTAAGATTGAAGAGTAGTGAGGACCTCAGTTTGGCAGGTAAAAGACGGACTAACCCTCTGAGTTAGAAAAGCAAATGCACTGTTCAAGTAGAGTAAAAAGAATAATTTACTATAGATGGAAAAGTAAGAGGGTATAGTTTGTCACCTCTTTTTGGTAAAATCCCCCTCATTGTATGTGTCAAGTAAAACAGCCCTTCAGTAATGGGCAAGTCTTGAAGGCATGATTATTCTCAGTTGCTTAAAAAAATTCATTACTTTAAAAAATGCTGCTCATAAGCAATTTTAATTTTTCCGGGATAAAGATTCCCCAGCCACCTAAGGTTCTGTTGGCCCAGTTATTTCTCTTCTGATTATAGGCAGTGAATGAATTGGGGCTTCCAAATACTTGCCTTGAACTCCATGTAGCTGTGTCAAGTGAACTGATCTCTTGGCCAGTCTCAGTGAGGGCCAGCATGGTCTTTGTTGACTCTGTAGTTCCAGTCTGTCACATGATCAGAAGAGCATTTGATTTGAATAAAGGGTAGTGTAAGGTACCATCTCAAGGTGCACTACAAAGTCAGAGGCAGGCTCTTTGGGCCCAGCCAAATCCTCTGTCCTAGGAGAAAACCCAATTTTTCAGTCCACCCTCCCACATGCCCCTCAGAGGCCATGAGGTACTTTCTCTTCTGAACATGGAGATCGTATGGTGAAACTGGTGATAAGTGGAGGACACGGCCAGACCAGGGGCCGAAGCAGGGCCAGAAAATCCACAGGTCTTTGGTGCAGTGGGGCTGGAGAGAATGGGACAGGCGTAAGTTAGTTGAAGAATTGACAGGACCTGCTAATGGATCCTATGACAGAGTAGCTTGGGGTACAGGCAAGAGACAGTGGGGGTTGAGTGGTGTCTACAAACAAAATTCAAAATAATAAAAAGTGATTTGGTACAGAAATCTCACTAATAGGGCTTGGGACCTGAAGACGCCAATGACAGTAGATGTATTCTGGGAGCCTGACCTCTCGGCTTTGTGCTGAGGGGTGGCACATAGCCCCACACGCAGCTCCCTACAGTTCCCTCCCTAACCCTGGGTTTGTGTCTTGGGCAACCCCTTCCCTGGTGCAGGAACAGTCTGACATGTGGTCTCTGCAGGCACAGAGAAGGTGCGCCAGGCACAGGAGTGCAGGCACTTGCATGTGGTCAGCCCTGACTGGCTGTGGAGCTGCCTGGAGAGCTGGGACAAGGTGGAGGAACAACTCTTCCCCCTCACCGATGACGATACCCAGGCAAACAGGTAGGTGTCTCTGCCCTCGGATCTGTGCTTTGTGGTCCTTATCCATGCTGTGATGCTCCCTCCCTGGATGGTTCCAGCTCTCTGAGCAGCCCTGGCATAAATGGGCATCTGGTGGTTATGATGGTCCTTTGGGGCCCTGACCATCACTGGCAAGCCTTCGTGTGTATTGCTCCACTTCATCTCCTTGACAGCCCTGCTTTATGGGAATCTGAGGCCTGGGGTGTCTCTGCAGGATCTATATCACCCAGCCACTGAGGCTACATACTCCTGCAGGTATGGTACATCCCATGCACCCTGCTGTAGCCCCTTTCACTCAGCAAACTGACCTTGTGACTCCCTGTGAACTCAAAGATGAGCTTATGGTAGAAATGTGCCATCAACACCAGAGATGATGGAGGACGGTTTTTCTTTATTTCAATAAAGCACAATGTGGCTTTTAATAAAGTATCTTAGTTTGCATGATTTTTTAGCACCAGAGAATACTATGTGAATTAAAGATCATAGGACAGAGAGGTTATTACAGATCTTTGAACAAAGAGAGGATGGTAGGGTGGAAGCTTGGGGGTAAATGTGCAAAACTGTGTAGTCAAAAGAGAAGGTGTAGGAGAAAAAATGGAAATTCCTATCTTTTATGTATTCATGGGGAGAAAGTAGATAGTATAGGAATACTCATGTTTGTTGAGAACAGTCTGTCAGCAATCTGGGCCTTGTATCGGGGTTAGGCTCAGGTGAATATCAAAGTAACTGAGGATAAAAAGAAAGGAAACTCATCCAGCAAAGGTGAGTGACTCAGCCCAGTGGGAGGCTGGTTCCCAGGGAGGTCCAACACTGCACAGCAGGTTTGGTAGGTGCTGGTAATTGAGAAATCACTATTTTTCTGCAGTGTGCACCATTGTGTTACTCTGTACATTGTCGTGTCCTGGTATTTGGAAGTACACATTTTCCATCTGAGCAGCTCAGTCAGGCACTGAGGGGGCTTTTGTCTAACTTTGGGCAGTGACAGTCACTGGTTGTCCCTGAACACATCCATCTTTGTCCTGGTGTCCCTGCATTCCTGTATCCCATATTCCCTATCTCCTAGTCCCCTATATCCTTTTCCCCCTTATCCCTCTCAGTGTTCTTGTCCACCAAAACTACATTGTTACCAGTTCTGCTCTCATGGCTCTTATTTTCTTCATCCAACAGAGAGAACAGTCCAGCAACTTTTCCTGACAGGCAGAACGTGCTTCCAACCGCCTTATTTCACCCAACACCCATCCATCCCAAGGCCCAGCCTGGTCCCGAGGTCCGAATCTATGATTCCAACACTGGAAAGCTCATCAGAATGGGTGTTCAGGGCTCCGTGCCAGGGCCCCCCAGTTCCCTGCCTATCCACAGGGAGCCCACCTCCTTCAGGTATATTGTGCCACCTGAGAGCTTCCTTTGCTGGCAGGAACCAGCATCTGAAGTTGTTTTCAGTTTTCAGTTGTCTCATCCTATTTAGGGGGTTGTATTACGTACCTGCAATGGGGACATGTAACATTAAAGGCTCTGGTTAGTCCTAAATTTGAGTTAGCAGCCTAGCTGAAACAATGACTCCGAGTTTGTAGAAACAGCCTCCCACTTGCTGATTCTCTTTTGTTTAGCCGTCTATTTTGTGTTGGGTTCCAAAACTGAAAGTAGAGAAACCACTGATTTAGTCTCTGGTGCATTTTGCGCAGTCCCTCAGCTCCTGCAGGTGCCATCAGTATTGTCCTGAGGTGCATAGAAGAAGACAGCCCCATAGGGCTGTGCTGTGCCTCCCTGCCATGCCATCCAAGTCTAGGCATGACGCCCTGGGCCATCTCGCTCTGTTCCCGCACATTCAGACCAATTTGGAGGAGGGGGATCCAAGACGTGACAGAATTAGAAGGCATTTGGTGGCAAGATCAGTGCTGCCTCACAAGAGAGGGATCCTTCCTGAGCAGCCATGTCTGTGCCCTTCCTCCTCTGCCTGATCTCGTTAGCCCTCTGCCTGAGCTCAGGTTAGCACTCCACCTGAGGTGAGGCCCTGCTCACTACCACATGCATAGCCAAAGGACATCCTGCAGGTTTAAATGAGGAGCCTAGTGGTTTCATGCAGCGAGTATTTATGCTGTAAAAAATTCCCATGGTTGGCCTGTGGTTGCCTGTCCATTCCCCTTTTCCTTTCCAAGAGCAACCATACCTTCCTTGGGAGTTGTCCACACACAGCAGCCCAGAGGTTAAAGTGGCATTAGCTCTGCCCTGGGCTACAAGTGGGCCCTGGTGTGTTTCCCAGTGATACTTAGGGCTGGGCAGGAACCCAGACCCATGTCTACCCTCTGGCTTTTGTGACCCTGCACAGATGATAAGAGCCAGGGTTAGTGTAAACAAAAGTTCAAGCCATGGGCGTGATGGCTTCCCCCTCTTTCTGGATGTCGGTATGACTTTGGCCAATCCCAGAACGCAGCTATGATTTCAAACTACAGCATTGTCATTACTTCTGTTTTCTTCCAATAATGTAGTTAATTATTTATGTATTTGGATCATAACTGTGTACTGCTGCTCATATTCCTTTGGAATGACTTTCCTGAAGTGAGATTGCTGAGGTAAAGGTCATGTCTATATTTAACTTTAATAGATGGTATTGGTATTCGCCAAAAATGGACCGCAGTTCGCCCTCACCAGTAGGATAGAACTATATCCTGCAGAAATGTGTGGGTGGCTCTTGGGCAGAGCCTGCTTCTTCAGAGCTGTGCATCTTGCCAAGCTAATGTGTGACAAGAGGCTCACAGGGGCCAGCCTCTGGATGTGGGTCAGCTACTTGATTGCATATTAGTGAATTACTTTTGTATATGTTTAACTTATCCTTTTTCCTATTGAGTTTTTACATTTTTTGTGCCTTGCCCCTTCTGGAAAGTTTACTGTAGATTAAAGCATTCTAATAAGATACCAACAACTGTAAGAGAGATGCCTGCCTTGGCAGCCATGCTTCAGTGGTTCTGTCCAATTGTATTCTTCATTCTGTTTTGAATAATATTGGAAGTTAAGTATTTTCCTTTGTAGGTAACCTCTTTGGTGCAAATGTTTTAAGTATTATGCATCAGATTGTGTATAGATTCACTGTAAGCATTTTCTTGCACGGGCCGGGGATTTAGCTCAGAGGTTCCGCCCCCAGCCTTGTAAGCACAAGGTTCCAAGTTCAATCCCTGGTACCCAAAATTAAAAAATTTCTTGAAATATTTTTCAGAATGGATTCCCACAGAGCCCTGCTCCCCTTGAGTGTGTGTGGGGGGGTATTATAGATTAAATGAACATAGAGATTAATTTTACATATTTTTAAAAATATAACCTTGTTGGGCCAGAGATGTGGCTCAGGAGTACAGTGCCTGCCTGGCAAGCAGGAGGCCCTGAGTATGATTCACAGTACCCCTCCCCAAAATATACATATATACATACAAACACACACAAACACACACACACACACATATATGTGTATGTATGTACATATCCATCCATCCTTATCTCATAACACAAGGACAGAGTACACTTTTGGACAGTCTTCTACCAGAGCTACAGTGAAGCCATGTGCTGTTCAAGGTCTAGTCCTATTGTACCATTTCTTAAAACTTGAATGTATAGGGGCCGGGGATTTAGCTCAGAGGTTGGGTGGCCTGCCTTGCAAGTGCAAGGACCCAAGTTCAATCCCCGGTATTAAAACAAAACAAAACAAAAACTTGTGGATGTAGTGGATGTAGCTCAGTGGTAGAGCACTTGCCTAGCATTTGCAAGGCCCTGGATTCAACCCCTAGTGTTGCAAAAAGAAAAAAATTAAGTGTATATGGTTTTCAGTTTGTTCAACGGAGACTGGTTCATCACCATGTAGTTATATATTATATACATTCATTTTTATTCAAATATCCTTAAATATAGATATTTCAATAAGCTTGTCCTCATTTCTGAGGGGTCCTGGATTTGAGAGAAAACGGTGGATACAAGACCACTGGGTGGCAGGTGCTGCCGTGTGAGTTCTGCTTCTGGCAAGATTGATTGAGGCAGAAGAACTGCCTTGATGTTACACATAGCAAAATTCTCTTCTCAAACCAGGCAGCAGTAGTGGAGACTCTTCACCACATGGGGAGCTGGTGTCTTAGCTGCTTTCTGCTTCTGTGCCATGTGATAGCAAATACCTGACAAGTGCACCGGCACAGGAGATAACTGGCTGTGGAGTCTGCATAGGAAGTACTGAGGACAGATGGGCAGCTCCAGTGTGTTTTCATGAGATGCAAGATCGGACCTTGGAGGGCTGGGTGGGATTAGCAGACTTAAAACAAACTTCTGGCCACATCTGATAGCAGATACCACTTATGAAAACAGAGGTAAAACCGCATGGTATAAAATCAGAACTGTACCGGCCTAGCAGCTAAGAAACAGGTTGGCCTCAGGGTCTGTGCTCAGACTTCACATGTGACACGGAAGCCCCTCAGCTGGAGACCAGGCAGGTGAGCTGTGGTGAACCAGCTGATGCCTGGGACCTGGGGGCAGCACGTAAGGGCTTTCCAGGTCTATGACACATGAATAGATGCTCACAAGAGAGGAGACCCTTGTACTAGTAAACACAAGTAAAAATATTCTGCCTGTAGGAGCCATAGAAGTATGATTAATACAATCCACATTTCACACCTTAAGTTGACAATTAAAAGTGATCATTCCAGAACCTTAATTCAAGAAGTGTCCTCATGTCTTACACAAGGATGCATATGCAGGTTCAATGTTTGGGGGAAGTTCTGCTAATGTTTACTGAAATGCATGCCTTTGACCTGTGGTCTCACTTTGGGAATCTGTACCCTAGGAACGAGTGTGCTAGCCTAAGGTTCTCTGCTTCTGGAAGATTTGGAGTTCTAGTAAAATGGAGCAGCTTTTACGGGCCTGCTGAAGATAACTGCCAAAGCTGTGGGCACACCTAGGAAGCAGCTGTGTGGAGGAATCAGCGCAACCCCCACAATCTATGTCTATCCTGGTCCTGTCCTTGGAGGTATCCCCAAGGATGCTGAGTGGCAGTAGAGGTTGTATGTTTCTGGGCTCAGGAGACGAGTGGGGAGTTGAGGCTGCCAAAGTGGCTGGAATTGAGGAAAAGAAGCAAAATCTCCAAAAGGAGAAAAGGAACCCGGTGACCCATAGGCTCACTTGTGGTTCTTAGGCTTTGTTCATGTTGCAAGACTAGGAGAGCCCAGACGAAAACAGCAGCAGTAGGAGAGAGTGCCTTCAGAATATTCACAGTGGACAGTTCAGTAAGGGAGAAGGGAGCATAAATTGGTAAGAAGGTGAAAAATTCAAAACACTGGGAACTTAAGAGGTATGTGGACCCAGTCCCTAATGGTAGTGAGCACCGGACCTTCCATACCCATGGAGTTGGGATGTTACCCTCTGACATGCTCTGAACCTATTGTTGGGTTTTATGGAGGCCCTGTTACATAGGTGTGATTAAATCGTTGGTCATCAGAGTACTAGCTCAATCAATCCCTAGCCACCCCATTTCCTGGAGATCAGAGGCTAAGCTGGGCAGGAGATTCCAACCCTCTCTCTAGGCCTTGGTCTTTCCAATTACAAGTCCTAACCTGAAGCTGTCTCTCTACCCTGGAGATTCCAGGGTATTGTAATCACAAATGGGAACCAAGGATCTGCTGATCTCAGAACTTAACTTTTAGGCATTAATGTTCAGTGATCAAGGGTCCTTGTTTTTCTTGTAGGCCATATTCTGCAGTATATCATAACTAGTTGAAACAATGAGAGAAAAGATCTGAGAGTTGAAGGAATCCTTCTGAACTTCAGTTTCTAAATTGCTGTTTCATTATAATGTCTACAGAAATTAAAGCAACAACAAAAATCAACATGTGCTGATATGTACACGAGCAAGCTGTTTAGAATGTGCTTTTCATTGTGTTGAAAACAAAATCACAACTTTTCACTTATTTTTCCTTAAACATGAAAACAAAAGCAACTGTGTGGAATGGTTAAAGATGAGGTACAGAACTTTTTTAAAAAATTATTCAGCCTTGCTTGAAGTTCATGCCAATAGACTTAGAAATTTCTAAGATAAGTGAGAAGTAGTAATTAAATGTTGTCTGAAAACAATTTGCTTATGGTAAGCTGAGCCTGAATAGAGTTGAGCACTTGCTCTTCCCTTCAAGAGCTAATAATATGGCAGTAGATAACCATATGGTTGTTCTTACATGTGCATGCCACAGCTCAGTTTCTCATGATTGTGGAGCTGACATTTTGTTGGCCTGTCCGGAGGAGGCTACCCCAGCTATGACTCATCTGGGCAAGTTGATTCTTGACATTTTCTTGTGTATCTGGAAGTGTAATTTGCACCAAGACATAATTTTCTTATTACTAGCCCATTTAAGGAGCAT